TGACCAACCCGGGCTTCATGTTGACGCGTCCGAAATGCAATTCAAACTTTAGCTCCTCCAGCACTGGCTTGATGTAGTCCTTGTCGCCCATCGATACGCCACCGCTGCAAATGACAAAGTCTACGGTGTCAAACAGTGTGGACAGGGTGCTCCTGATGGTGGCCAAGCTGTAAGATGATTTAATTAGTATGTTGGTCTATATGGTCCATATAGCTATGATCACCCACTCATCGCCCAGCACAAGCTTCTGCGTGCAATCAAAGCCAAAGTAGAGCAACAGCTCCTCCAGCATTGTCGTATTCGAATCATAAATTTTGCCAGCCACTGCCGGCTGGTGGGGTGCCAGCAGCTCGCTGCCGGTTGAGATGATGCCCACTTTGGGCTTGCGCTGCTGCTGCTGAAGGCCAACGGAGGCCAGCAAAGATTTGTAGACAACGGGCGAATAGTCCGCAGCTGGAAACACTTTGTCACCCTTGCGCATGTCGTGGCCAATAGGACTATAAGAAATTGAATATAATGAATATAGCCAAACAAAATTGGATCAACTTAGGTCTTACCGTATATCCAGGCCAGCTTTTGGTTCGACCAGTATGTCAACAAGACTCTCTTCGCCATATTTGTCGCGCTGCAACAGTCGAGTGTCCTCCACCTGGACAACGCAGTCCGCGTGCGTCGGCACCGGCGCGCCTGTATTGATCTTGAAGCATTCATCCTCCTGCAACGGATGCTCATTAACCTGCAGTTAAATTAAAGCAGTTAATAGGTTATCCACTGATATGAATACAGATGGGCTTGACCTTATCACCGGCAGCAATGCAATCCACGACTCGCTTGGTACCCGAAAAGCCAGTAGATTTCATTGCATAGCCGTCTTTGATGGACGCCCGAAAAGGAGGTATATTGACTGGTGAGCGCAACTGGTCCATCTGTTGCTTGCTCGCGTTGCTGCGCTGCACCACGCTTAGTATTGTGTCCAGTGCCTGATGGACGGGCACCATGGGAAACGGCGAATTGCGATCGATGTCATCTCCAGCGCCCGTCTTGTGCGGACAGACGTGATCACGCTTTACAGGCGAAGGCACTGCAGCCTCACTTTGAGCTGTGCCCTGAACCTCGGCGTGCGTGCGCGCCACGAGCGCCACATTGTTGCCAATCAGATGGAGGGCATGTGGCAGCAGTTCACGTACCGCCTCGAAGCATTCAACCACAGCCTTCTCGCTGCCTGGAAAGTTCAACACGAGCGTGTTGCCGGCAATTCCACAAACGCCTCGTGATAAGGCAGCAAATTTGGTCTTCTTCAGCGAGGTCAAGGCAATAGCCAAGGTCAATTGATTGCAGTCCTTGTCGAGCAGTGGTTTAGTCGCCTCAGGCGTGACATCACGCGGAGCAAAGCCAGTGCCTCCGGTGGTAATAATGACGCGCACATCATCTCGATCGATCCATTTGCGCAGTTCGCGCTGTATCAGATCACGCTCGTCGGGCAATACGGCGGCTATCACCTGCGAGTTGTCAAAGGATTCGGCAATTAGTGCCATCAAACGTGGACCACTGCGATCCTTAGCCGGCTCATGGTAACAGGTGTCACTAACTGTAATCGTAATCGAGTTATGAATGCGGCTGGCCAAATATTTGAATATAGCTTACTTGTTAGAACTCCAAAAGTAATGGACTCCATGGCTACATTTATATAATGTGAGTGAGCATGCAGCGCTTGTTGCTTTCAATTAAATTGTTTAATATAGCGTTTAGCACTCTCTCAAATAATTGTTCGATTGCTTTGACCGTTTTGAGTGGGCCCCTTTTAGATCTTTTTTACGAAACGAGTGTGTAAACACTGACAGACAGTTCGCCGTTTAAAATATAAATCTGATTTGATAGGCGAAATATTTATTTACATATATGTATGTAATATAAAAAAAAAAAAAAAAAAAAAAAACTGTCACTTGCGCTAGTGATCTTAGTCTTACAAAACCTATTCCATGAATTAGTAAAGCTTTTAGAAGCTCCTCAAAAGAACTTTTAGATCGCTTTGGCTGTTTTAAGCGGCAAAGCGCTTATGCATTTTTAGTACGTTTTTACAACGCTGAGTGTGTAGCCACAGGTTGTCCGCCGTTAGAAAATTGCAACTTAAAACCAAACATTTTTATTCTATACAAGTACATATATATGCACGAGTATATATAGTAACAGCCGGCATAATGCTAATGCTTATGGTTTATTTACACTATAATATAACAATACAAAAAAAAAGGGATATTTATCGTAACAATAAAATGAATGTCACATTGCTTCACTGGCCGTTTTCATTTAGTAGGGATTTCCTTGGCGCGTTCCTCTACCAGCGGATCGTATCCGGATGCCATTTTCTCCTTGAACTGTTCATATGTGCGTTTACGGTCAAAGTGTTTCACCCACTGACCGGGACAACCTTGCTCGAATGCTTTACGCATTTTCTGGCAGGCACTTGGCACCTTTTCACCGCTTGTTGAGCTGTGCTTGGGCGCATTCTCGTCCAGACACTTCCAGTATTCGTCACGCATAGCCCAGCACTTGGCGCGTTCCTCTTTATTGGGGAAACTCATTTTTGGCAGTGGTTAAAATATTGATGTAGTTGACTTTGATTCCCGTGCCGCTAGTCGGTATTTTCTTTTCAGATGTTGAAGGCGATAGGCACTGTCTCTTCACACCCTATATGGCCAGTCAATATACCTATTTATCAACAACTCAAATTGTGTTTAATCTTATTTATTGTTTAACAAATTCACAAAAACCAACCTCAAAATTACAAAACATACAGTCGCCGACACAGTGTGCCCAGATATTAAGTACTAACCATAACAGCTGATTAGACGAAAAAAAAAATATTCAATGCTGTGTTGCATTGGATATATCGGCGCTGCAATTCAAATGACTGGCCGTTAACAGTTGAGGTAATAAGACAACGATTTCGCTTTTATTACAATTTATTTGATTTAATTAATATCTCAATGACTTATATTTAACATTATTGGTATTAAATTTCAACTAATTTTTAAGGTGAACTACTTAAACAAATTGTATATATTCATAAAAATTTTAATTTTTCTTAAATAACGAAAATGTAAACTAAAAAAAAAAAAATAAAATAAAAAACAGAACAAAGCAAAACAATAACAATAATAATCGTAATGAGTAGTGACTACTTAAATTCTAAATGGTGTGCATCGAAACCGTTATACATATACTATATGTAAATGTCGCTTAAATGTTATACAAATTACGTATAGAAAATGCTGTCCAAGTGCAAATGAGAGCGCAATAAATGCTCCGTTATTTGGACTCTAAAACACCTACGTCTCAATATATATATTTATGTAAATTGTTTTTTTTTTTTTTTAATTGTGTGCATAACACAATTCAAGTGAACCCTAGGAACACTGCAAATCTCAATGCGATGAAAGTGTTCGTGTTCTCTCTTCATGTTACAGCAATAAAAATATATATTATTAGTATAAATGTATGTAGATCGTATAACTAAGCTTGGGTATTTGTGTGTGTGTGTGTATGTGTGATATTACATTTCAGCAGTGATAACTTATAATTTTATTCATATTCCTAGTGTACATACATACAAACATATAAACAATTTATATCCACACTTAAGTATATATATGTATAAATATGTATGTAATGTTTGTATAAGTATATGTATGTGTTTAGTATATGAATTCTCAATATTCAAATATTATACATTTCTTACTAGCTGTTGATGTGATTCGTTAGACGCAAGGATATGATTAGAACTGAAATGAATGAAGTGCTCACATCTAAAAATGCATTGCAGTCAATGTTTCTTTTGTTTTTTTTTCCCCCTTCTTGTTTTTGTTTATTATTATTATTATTACTATTATAGTGTGTTCTATTCCTGTAATACCATGTCTAGCCATAGTAGCCCCTGTACTCCTATTAAGTTGGGGTCTAGTTTGGGTATCTTTGAAAGCTTTTCCAGGCACTTGTGGCTAACGAGCGCAAAGCTTAATTTGGCCAATTACAGTTACTGTTAACACAGTTAACAGTAACAGCTCTGCTTTGCTGTTAAGACTATGAACAAAACACGGCATTCTTCTCAATAGGCGACAGCAAATACATTTACAATAGACTTTGTGTGTGGGAGTATGTGTATGTATGTATGTATGTATGTGTGTGTGTGTATGTGTGTAAAACATGTTTTAGCTACTATCAGTACCGTATTAAGCACAAACTTAAATTACAATTCCGATTCCGAGTTTGCTATGCATGACATATAATTATTATTATTATAATTTTTGTATAGCTTATTTTTGTATTTATATATATACTAATAATATATATATATATATATATATATATATATATATATATATATATAATATATATATATATTTTTTTTTTTGCATTTCATTTCATTTTCGCTAGACATGCATAAAAAAATAATATACAAATTATAGTTATTGTTAAATTTACAATTAAATGTGTACGTGTTGTTGTTGCCGCTATTGTTAATTTATTAATGCTAATTGTCTGCCTTGAAACTTGTTGAATAATGCCAAAATATATGCAAACCCGATATATAAAATACATACAATTATATATGTATAAATTGCTTGCCTTGACTAGTTACAAATTCTCAGCATTTCATTTTCCTTGATCGCACAAACATATATTATTTATATTTATATTATATAATCTAGATACATAAGTGCGAATATATATATATATGCATATATATATCAACCAATTCATACATACACATATATGTATATAAAGGCATTTATGTATATATAAATGTATCTGCATACATGTATATTTGCTTAAACATTCTGTATTGCACAATGTGACATGCAGCTTAATATTGGACCGAAAATTTAAAATAAACATAAAATGTAAATACATAATTATCTCATAAAAACAAATGCATAATAAAAACAAAGTAAATAATAGATATGTAGATATATATACATATATATATCCGTATATCTGTGTGTATATATGTATAGAGCTATATGCTTATATAAATGGTAACTAAATTTAAAATCTTGAAACATTTGGCAGTCGAGGACCAACAGCAACAAAAATCAAAACAAATTAAGAATTAAACAGAAACTTCTAAAGTTATTGCCATACTTTCTTGAATCTTTTTGTTGTTGTTGCTATTGGAACTGATTTTGATTTTCTAGATATATATAAGTATATACTCATATATATCGTATGTATGTGTATGGCGCTCTTTTGTGTGTGATGCTTGGCAACTTGGCTTGGCCAAGAGAGTCACTGTCTCCGTTTCCATTCCTATCACTATATCTATTTCCCTCTCCGTCCTTGTCTGTGTCTATTTCCATCTCTATCCATGTTGTGTGTGGTTGAGTGTATGTGTGTGTGTGTGTGATTGTGCTGAAGTGTATTTGGTATTGGTATCATTTAGTTACCGCTGCTCTACCATAAGTGTCACAAACTACAGCGTTGGCTCCTTGACCAGCTGCTGCTGCTGCTGCTCGAGTCCTTCATCTGTTGCCTCCTCGCCAGCCGCTGGCGATCCATTCGAACTGGAGGGTGTCTGTTGTGCATATTTGCAGGAGGCTGTAAGACATTTACAGCCGGCGCCGCCACGCTGACTGCTGCGCTGTTCAGCGCGCCAGAACTTCTCGCCATAATCGTAGCTAATTAAATGGAACGAAAATGTGAATAATAAGTGAAAAGCGGATGTATAATGGTTACCAACCAGATCTCCTCGCCGGATTCGATGTCGCGACAGGCGAAGAAGGCAATCTTTGGAAAGCGATAGTCCTGATGCTCATAGAAAACGCGCACGGGCAATATGTTTGGCTCGCACGAATGATTGAAGAAACGACTTATATTGCCGTAGTAGTTGGCGTCGATGCAATGCCCGTTGTCCAGATCAAAGTAGTAGCTGTCATCGGTCCTCCGATCTGCCTCATGGGCCGTCAGTATTTCGCCCGTGTAGCTGGCCACAAAAGTGCCCTTGGGCACATTGACCAAGGCACGAACGCCCCAGCCCTTTGTCGGCTCCTCGCACTCGACAATCTGCAGCGGAACCCGAATGCCATTCTGCACGACGCGATTCTTGCAGGACAGCTGCAAAAGGAGAGAGCGAGAGGGAGAGACATAACAGAATGAGATTTTTGCATTTTGGCCACTTTGACATTCACTCTACCTGATTGCAGCCGCAGACATCGTTGCATTCAAATATCACTGCCGGATCCTCGTAGTTAAAGTCACAATTCAAGCGACCCTCCGCCGTATACCAGTTCTGTGAGGACGCCCCATTGCATTGGCACTGATCACTGCTGCAGCTGTCCAGGCACGAGCAGATGCGCATCTGTGAGACGCGCCTATCGATTTGCACCGAGTTCTGCAGTATGATGCAATCGACAATGTACTTAAAGTCGGGCCACATTAAAGCATCGGCCTCGTCCTCATGCTCGGACATGGTCAGCTCGTTGCGCACCGCCTGTATGGGACGTAGTTCGCGCCCGTTCGAGGCATCTGCGCAGACGACCCGAGTGCGTAGTCCCAGCGGACGAAAGCTGCGCATCTGCATGTTGAAGCCAACGGTGCGACCGCATTCGGAGTCCTCGTTCGGTATGCAATCATAGGGCAGCTGCTCCGCCTTATTCTTAATCATCAGATCGGCACCGTTCGCTATCAAAGCGATGCACATCCGAGTCACCGAATGACGACACGCAATGTGACTGCAAGAGAGATACACAATGAATTAGGAATCGAGATGCAATCGCATGTTTCTTTCCACTCACAGCGGCGTGTCGCCCTCCACATTCTGCACATTGCAATCGGCGCCCGCCTGCAGCAGCACCGTTATCGTCTCCAGTCCATCATAGCGCAATGTGGACCAGTGCAGCACTGTGTTGTTGTCATTGTCGCAAATGTTCGGATCGGCGCCATGATTAAGCAGCAGACTGTGAAGAGGGGAAACAACAAAAGCGATAAATTTACAATAATTCTAAAGAACTTCAACAAGTAACAGACTGTTTTCTTGCTGCTGTTAAGTTGATATGTCCAGCTGTTAACATAATGCACAGCTGTTAATATCGTGCCTATTGATATCTGTGATTATAAATTAGCTCGATTTAGGGATTTGCTCGCACCTAACAATGTCCTTGTGGCCCAGCTCAGCTGCCCAGACCATGGCTGTCCAGCCACCCTCATCTTGGGCATTGATGAAGGCCAGAAAGTCGGTAATATTACGCGAACCGCGATAACTATCCACAATCAATTGGGCAGCGTCCAGGTTGCCCAGCTTGGCAGCAATGTGCAGACTGGTCATGCCGTCGGGACCCTGCAAAGTGGAAAAGATACGAAAGTTATACGAAAGCCGGATAGCGTTCGCTGTGTGGAGGACTAACCTTGATAGCCACATCGGCGCCGCACTGCAGGAACAGGTTGAGCATATCGCATTTGTCGTTCATCACAGCACACATCAAGGCCGTGCGCAGCTCGCTATCGACAATGTTGACAAAGCCCTGGGAGCTGGCGCCCTTGCACAGCAGCAGATAGGCCATTTGCAGGGTGCCCGAGTGGGCGACCAGGTGCAGGCAGGTACCATTCAGAAATTCACGCATGCGCGTCATTACATTGTAGTCGGCGGCTGTCGAACAAGATAGATTAGACCGATTCGAATATAAATAGTATGATCTATCGTATGCTCTACCCAATATCTCGGCCACGCGCTCCAGATCGTCGTTCTGCACGGCGTAGTACATGTCCCGGGAATTGAATTCGGTGGTGACGCGTCCACTGGACGACACAATCCGATCGCGCAGCACCACATTCATCACAGACTCCGGTATAAGCTGCTCAAAGTTGATCACATTCAAGGCCTGCCCGGAGGCACTGCCTCCATTCGCCTTGCCTCGCGTGCCATTCGATTTGGCACTGGCCGCCTTGCCGCGCACAGCTCCGCCTGTTGCTGGCTTGGCAGAGCCACCGCCGGCGCCAGTAGCCGACTTCGATCCAGCACCCGCTGCATTACCGAATTGCGTCAAATGCGATGAGGTGGTCAACTTGGCGGGCTTTCTACAGGGTGAAGTGAAGAGAGAGTTAAATTGATCTGCCATGGAATCGGGCGTGGGCGGAGTCGAGGTGAGCTTACATTTTAGCCTTCTGTGCGGGCAGAAAGACGGGCAATGTTTGGCATTTCATGGTCACCGTGGAGGTGCGCTCCGGTGTGTCCAAGCCGCAGTGCGGACACTTTAGCACCAGCAGCGGACTCATGAAGTTGCCCGGATTCGTCGACTGCTGCTGCTGGGCATCGTATGGGCTGTTGAGTATGAAGCGCTGAGCGCAGTCCGGATGAAAGAAGTGCTGCTGCTTGCAAAGCACGAATTTGCCCTGCAATCCGAGTTGAGATTGATTAGTGTGACTGATGATTGATTGATTGACTAGCTGTTGCATGTTACCTGAGTGCAGAAGATGCCACAGCCGGCACAGCAGTTGTGCGCCTGCAGGCGCTTCTTGTGCTCGTCGCAGAGTATCATGTAGCCGACGCGCTGGCTGGGACGCAGCAGATTGTGCACCTCGGCGGACAGCTCGTTGCAGCAGCCGATCTTCTGCTCGTCAATGTTGTCGATGGCACAGCAGAAGGACGCATCCGGCGCATTGCGCGCGTAGTACTGCGAGCTGCGCTGGCACAGGCAAATGAATTTGACGCCAGCCGCCGTAGGAGACCCCGAACTGGCAGCGGATGCTGCTGCTGCGGCGGCGGCTGCCGAGGTGCTGGCTATGGCATCGCTGGCATCATTCGATGCCAGAATGGCGCTGTTCAACGTCTGCAGCTGGCCATGCTCCAATGTGGTTGCAGCTGCTCCAGCCGTTGCCGCTGCTGCTGCTGCTGCTGCTGTTGCTGTTGCTGTGGCATTGTTGCCACGCGCTCCTATGCGACGCGTCAGCTTGGACGACGCAGCAGGCGTTGTGGGCGGTGGCGGCGGTGGCAGCTGCAGCGACTGCTTGGCACCAGCTGTTGGTGGATTGGCGGCCTCCTTGGTGGCGTTGCGCAGGCGCAGCGTGACACTCGGCTTGCCCACCTGGACGCGCGTGGTGGGCACAAACTCCTCGTTGTCCGTGTTGGAGCTGTCGTTGTCGCTGGCCTCCTCGCTGTTGTTGCGCTTCAGGCCCAAGTGCTTGAGGTGCTTCTCCTTCTGCTTGGCTAGCTTGCGCAGCTGCTTCTTGTTCAGCTTGCGCTCCTCGGGCGAGCGATTCGCGTTCAGCTTGGCCGACTTGATGTCGCTCAGAAACTGGTCCAGATCGGGACTGGGACGAACGCGACTCTGTGCCCGCAGCGCCGCATCCGAATTGTCAATGTCGCGCTGCGTCTTGAAGAGACGCTTCTTGACCGCATTCGTGCCAGTCGGATGCTGATCCAGTCCGCTGCCGCCGTCCGACTTATCGCTCTTCTGCCTCGACGTTGACGAATTGGAGCTGTAGCCCTGCAGCGGCGTCTCGAACTGCAGCCCGCCGTCTGCCTCAGCCGCAGCCGTCGATGTCGCCTCCCACTGGGTCAGCCGTTCGATATGCTTCGTCTCGAACTCGCAGCGCAGCTCCTCGTTCTCCAGTATCTTCGTGGTGGGCTTGATGCGTCGCTTCGAGCGCTTGGGCAGCTGCTGCTGTTGCTCCGCGCCGCTCGAGGCAGCACGCTTGCCGCCATTGGACAGCGCCAGCGTGGCGGCAGCAGAGATGTTTGTGGCATGAGCATTTCCGTTGCCGCTGCTGTTGCTGCTGCCGGCGCCGGCTGCAGCTTGTGGCACGCTCTGTCCGCTGACATTGGGCGGCACTGGTATTTTGGCTTTGCGTCCGCGCTTCTTGGGCGTCTTCTCGTCCAACGCCACAGCCATGGGCAGTTGGTCAACAGCTGCTGCTGCTCCGCCCGCAGCACCCGCGCCTGTTCCAGCTTGGTGCATGGGCAGCTCACTGACCGGCAGTGGCTCCGATTTGATCTCCTCGGCCCAGGCCTGTGCCTGATCCACACGATTGCCCAGCCGCACGCTGCGTCGCATTCGTTTGCCATCGCCAGTGGACGCCGCTGCCTCCTCCTCCTGCTGCTCGGTCTTGATGCCCACCGCGGGCACGTCTGGCATCAGCGGATCTTCCTCGTGCAACTTGCGTTTGCGTCCAACTTTGCGCTCCACTGCAGCGGCCTCCTCTTGCAGTGGAGCCTCCTCCAGCGGCAGCTCTGCCTCGGGCTTGATCTTCTTGGCACGTCCACGACCGCGCTTAGGAGGGGGCGGCGGTGCAGCATTTTCGCTGATGCTGCTGCTGGCCTCGCCCTCATTGGGACTTGGCAGCTTTTCAGGCTCCTTCTTTACATCACTGGAAGTTTCCTCCTCTTGCTCCGGCTCATGCTCTTGCTGCTCGGGCCCATGCTCCAGTTCCTGCGGCTCCTGCTCTTCAGTCGCCAAGGGCGTTGGCGTCGTTGTGGGCGTGTCGGTGGGCCGCGGCGTACGACGCAAGCGACGCGTGCTGGGCGGAATGGGTTGTCCCTGTAGACCAAAGACCATGAAGGTAACAGATTAGAGCAAGTGGCAAATGTTAAAAACAACAGGTGCTAATTGGTCTACCGCACACACACACACACACACGCGCACACACAGATACACTCACGCCATCCATACGTAAAGTTACAACTTTCCTTGTATTTCATTTGGTTTATCCAATTCTTGCATTCGAAATTCTTCAGAGCAAATATATTTATTTTCAAAAATAAATATATATGAGAAGTGCTGTCGCTCGCCTTCTCTCTCGCACTAAGCATACAGACATATATATGTGAATGATTATATGAGGTCCTGAATCGTGCACACATCTAAGCAGGCTCTTTCCTTCCATTCGGCTAGTCGAGTGCGGTTGCTGTTGGCAACGGTTCTTACAAAACACTGCCAGCACCTGCCAGAGGAGGAGAGCTGGCTTGGGGGTGGACAACCCCCGGCGCTGGCAATGGCTACCTGCAGCCCCTAATCCCAGACCCCCGTGATATCTCGGATGCTTGCTCATTAAGGCAAACGCAAAAGTCTCTTCAAATTTCATGTTACAAATTACAGTCGGCTCTCACTAAGTGGCACCGATATGTACATAGATATAAATATATATATATAGATATAAATATATATATATATATATATACATATATATTTCGATTAAACTTCTCGACTGATTAATTGATTATTGCCTTTTTATTTATTGGAAAACTGAAATAGAATATTCTTTTTCTTGCTGCAATTCAATATATTTGTTTTTTGTATATTGAAATCTTAAATGATGTTTATTGTCATAGGCCATGTTCGAAATAAAACGCCGTTTAAAAATGGCTTTCGATTGGGCATCGCAGTAATAAAAAAAAAACGAGTTTAAAAGCCAGGCAAACGACTTCTATATTAAAAAAAAAAAAACACGCACACACACACACACACACACACAATTTTAAAGACCACATTTAAGCGTAGTTTTAACACCTGATTTTTTTGGGGGGGGGGGGTGTATTACATACAGGTATATCAGACTGAATATTTTAAATATATTTCAGAGGTTTGTTTACCTTAACTTATAAATATATTTAGCTAACTGATCAAGTGATCGATAATTCGATGATATTGCAAATCTTAATAGTTTAGTAAATGTAAATGTACATGTATTTATTTAACTAATATTTTTATCTAGCATTTAACATAATCTTATTTCTGTATTATATATATTTTATCATTTGTTTAAAAAATTGAATTGCTCAAATACAACCAACATCAATCTAGTCATGCCTAATTTCTTATCAACTGCCGAAGCTCTTGGTAAAATTGTGGCATATAGCCAACTCACTGGAGTATATAAAAATGCTGTTTATTTAAACACAAATATGTATTAATTTATTCATTTTTTGCATATACATATGTACATATACATGTATGTAAATAATCTGTGAAAAGGCATTGCTTATCAACACTCGTTATTCCTCCAATAAGAATTTGATTAAATAGTCATTTTAATATACATAATTTATCATATTATTGATTTTTTTCTGCTCTTAAATGTTTTGCAGAAAGCAAAGTAATGAAGGACTAGCTGCACGTAAGTACATACATATAAGTGCGCTCACATATACATATATACGTACACACATACATAACTGTTCTTTCGATCATCAATGGCCACGAAAATACCAAGGGGAATCCCGTTCTTTTTTGGTTCCCCCTCCCTTTCCCCATCGTGTTTAAAGAAACGAGTTGTTTGTGCTGCCCAATTCAGTTCAATTGGCGGCTATCGGCGCAGAGTAAATCGGAAAGTGAATCAAACAAACTACAACATGAAAAGAATTCGAGACTTTACTAATACACACGCACACACTCCCACACTCGCATTTTCACTCACACAAACCAGTCACATACGTATATGCATGCAAAAGCACACGCGCATAAAAATGAATACACTTACGTTTTTATCAGCATTAACTTGTGCTTGCGCTGTTGTTGTTGTTGTTGTTACTGTTGTTATTGTTGCTATTGGCACACCAATGTCGACGCTGTCAGCAGCAGCAGCAGCAGCAGCAGCAGTACCAGCTGCCGCATTCGTATCTGTTGCGTCAGCAGCGGCGTCAATAATGTCGGCGGTGTTGCTGCTGCTGTTGTCGGCAGCAGAGCTGACAACAAGTGGAGCGACAGGCACTGGGGATGCCGTTACCGTTGCCGAAGATGCTGCGACTGTAGCCGATGTGACCTCGGCTATTGCTTCTGTTGTTACAGCTGCCGCTGCCGTTAGCGCTGCTGCTGTTGCAGCAGTGTCTGAGCTTACTTCGTGCTGCGCAGTCAATGCTTGTTCCTGCACCGATTGTGGCAACGGCTGTTGTTGTTGTTTCATCTCCGAAAGCTCTTTTTCTTCCTCTTTGGCTGTTGCATTTGTGGTTTCCGTTTCAGTCTCAGTCTTAATGCCTTCACCAGATGAGGCTGCTGCTTCTGCTGCTGTTGTTGTTGTTGTTGATACGGCTTCAGCTGCAGCGAAAATTTGCGCAGACGACGTTGCCAACGCAGCCTCAGTCGCTGTTGTTGTTGTTGTAGTTGTTGTTGCGTTCTCTACAGCGGTTTTGCATGCTTCCTGCTCCAATTTAACTGCCGGTGCTTCTTCTTTTTCAATATTGTCTTTGCTTTTACTTGACTCGGCTGCGCGCTCAGCAACGCTAGCGCCAACGTCAACATCAACATCTATATTATTACCGTTTCCACTGTCGGCTGCTGCTGCCGACATCGCTGCTGGCGTTTCGTTAGGCGGCGACGTCGCTGCGGCTGCTTTTGATTCCGTCTCGTCTGCCTCTGCCGACGTCATTTTGTCTGTTATTTCTGCATGGGCGACGCCGCTGTCGTTGTTTTCGTTGACGTCGACGTCAGCGTTAGCGTCAGCGTCAGCGTCCACGTCGCTGGCCTGACTTTGGCTTTGGCTCTGGCCTTGAGGTTGCTGCTGGGCGCCGTCCGCAGTTTCCGTCTCGCATTTGACGGCCGCATCGAGCAACTTTGTCGGCTCTGGCGGCTGCTGCTGCTGCTGCTGCGCTGCCTCCTGTTGCTTCTCGTGCGTTTCGTCGCTTTTGATGCTCTGTTTTTTGTCCTTATCCTTGCAGGCAAATTGATTGTTTGCCAAATTGCGCCACTTTACGGTCTTATCCTCGGCCAGGTCCAGATTGAGCAGCGTACCGCCCTCGGCGGTGCTAGTGGCGCAGTCGCTATTAAATGTGCTCGACATGCTGTTCAACAGCTCTGCGACGTCCGTCATCTTTTCTTTGTTTTTGTTTTTTTTTTAAATTTTGATTTTGGTTTTTTACGTATTGTTTCTGCGCTTTTTAATTTGTTATTTGATTTTAATTTTACTTTGATTTGCAGTTAATTTAAGCTACGCTTGTGCTGCAGATGCGCTGCTGCTGCAAATAAGCGCGTGCATAAAAAATATGGAATCAATACTTTGGTATTCACCACGACACACGGCATCGATACCAGAACGGAACATAGCAGAGAAGGGGGTGGGGGGCAAATAGGGGGAGGGCTAAGCTAATGACGATAAGATTTCGACTCGCAGCAATTTATTTAACTCTTCATTTTCATACTAAATACGAAATGAAAAGGCAGTGCCAGTGGCAGTGGCAGCGGCAGCGGCAGCTAATGCCAGCACCGACAATAAGCAGCAAGCGCTGAGAAAGAGTGCAGAGCAATAACAAAAACAATATTGTGGACAACCCACTTGTCTGCCGACAGGAGGCGCCTTTCTATGAGCAGGGGCAGCGAGCCCACCTTTCGTAGGCAAGGGGACACGCACACCGAGGCACAAAACGCTCGCACATATACAAACGCACGAAGCAGCGGCGCGGTCGGAGTTGACGTTGACACCATAAGACGACGTCGACTGCGGCTGCGAAAGCGTCGCTTCAACTTTGAATTAATTTTATAAATATAAAGCAAATAATTTCAATTGCAATTTACTGTTTTCACGTAATTATAATTTATTAATTATTTAGCCACGATAAAAGCGAAAACGTAAAAAAAAACCTCTGCCTGCCTTCAACCGATTCTGATTAGCTCACAACATGCTGTTTCTTTTTTTTTTTTTTTTTTCATTTTTTTGTTGTTGTATGAATATGGCCAGCTTTATTGTTGTTTTACTTTTCGTCTTGCTCTTCGTCTTCTTGGTGCTGGCTGCTAAACGACCGTGGTGGCTGCTCTGCCGCTGCTCTGCTACTACTAGTGCTGCTGCTGCCGCTGCTGCTATAGCAGTTAAACATAGTTGTATTTGTATTTGTAATTACTTATAATTGTTGATTTTGATTTTCTTTTCAGCTGAGTTTTTTTAATGATTCCTCCCAAAAGCTAGATGCAAATTGTGTACTGTGTTGCTTTCTGATAGCTGATATTTAAATTCGTCATTTTCACACCCAGACACGATGCGAAGTCAATTTACAATCACACAAAACACTGCACATTTCTGCAGTTTTCGATTTGTACAATATAGGTAATTATGATTTAACTAATATTTGTTGTTACAAAAGAAAATAAAGAGAAACACACACACACGCACGCACGCACACTTTGTTTTAGGTCCGTCCGCCGTTATACGCCGCCAGCACATACTCTGTGCGTAACTCTCGGCGAACCGTCTTCGTCGTAGTCTCGCACGCTCTCACTGCTGCTGTTGTTTGTCTGTTGATAGTTATGTACATTTACATGTTTCTGGTATTACGTTTTTTGGTATTTCTATTTGGTATTTCGGCATCGAATTATTGCCCATAGAATAAAGATTGCCATAAATACCCTTTAATGGGTACAAACGCATCTATTCTTTTTGAAATTGCAATTAATAGCATAGCTTTGCACTTTTACGCAGGCAAATATTTATTCATGCAAGAAGTATCAAGGACATACTGAAATTTATTTGAGCAGTTCATAGTCTACATAGGTATGTAAAACAATAATATTTTTAATAATAATTTATATATAGCTTTAGACTTACAATCATATTTTATATATTCCGTATTATTGGTGAATAATTTTTAAAAGCGCGCAGTTGATAATATGTTCATTTCAGTATTTTACAAGGTTTTCAAATGCGTTCACTCTGATGTCTGGTATTTTCTTAGCAGTTCCTTTTGGGTTGCTAACAGTTGCTTACCAGCACTTTAATAACAGGTTATATTTTTGGAACCAGTCGTTGCAGTTATTATTTCTTTTTTTTTTTTTTAACACAATGTAAGTGTCATAAAATATAAATAATAATTGAATATTATAATTTCACTACTATGCTACTAATATGCTACTAATATAATACTTATGAATAGTCATTATTTACGGCATCACTGTTATTCATACATATGTAACTTATAAATTTAAAAATGTCATTTTACAGTTATAACTGCTAAAAAGATTACAGAACAAACTGTCAGTTCATTCCGGCAGAACAAGCTTAGTGTCACTTTAACGGCAAATTTTCACTACTTGACTGTTGAGCGCGTAAAGCAAAATTCGTATAAAAAAGTAAGTGGATGAATATTCCAGAAAATAGTCAAATATATTTATATGTGTGCTTCTCTGCATTTATAGTGTTTGAAATGTGGGATTATTACTTTTGGTCGTTAGTGGTCATTACCAGCAGCTTGATTGCTGCCTTCGAGGTAATATGGTTCGCCTACCAGTTGGTGTGCAAGTGGCGCAAGGATCGCATGCAAGAGGTGCTCATATTTAATGAGCTGGGCGCCGTATGTGCCAAAGAACACCTCAGGTTAAGCCTAATGGGTCGAGTATTCTATTGTACAAATGTGAATTGCTCTCAGAAACACGTGAACCGCATCATCGAGCATTTGAACAACGCCAAATTCAGCATTGACCTGGCCATGTATACCATCGGCTCCATTGGGATGGTGAGCGCTTTGATGAACGCCTTGCTCCGCAATGTTGTTGTACGTATTATTGTCAGTCAACGTAACGCAACACTCTCCTGTGTGCTCCTTGATCTCATTGACCATGGCGCCCAACTGCGCTGCCAGAGTTGCGATAACTTTATGCATCACAAGTTCTGTGTGATCGATGGGCAAGGGCAGGTCAATCGCGTTTGGAATAAGAAGCGCAAGAACGGACCAAAAACCCGCGGCGTGCTCATGAATGGCTCCCTCAACTGGACCGATAGCGGCTTCTGTGGCAACTGGGAAAATGTCGTCATCACCACCAATCCAGATGTAGTCCAAGCATTCCAAGAAGAATTCAATCGCATGTGGATGGCGTTCTCCACAAAAACTAAATTCTACTGATTCCATGACAATAATCAGAGAGACTGCAAAATAGATACATATAGTTATTGCTAGTTGATATATATATCATGTACAACATAACGATAATTATAAAATGCAGAAAACATTTATAAAAAAATATAAAAACATTTGTTTTTTTTTTTAACTATACCATTAATTATATATAAATGAGGGACAATATACATACATATTATACGTGTTAAGGGAAAAAATTAGGGTGCTCTGTTCGGGTATGCCTTCTAGAAAATACCGAGCTGATGTTGTTAATATACACATATACATACATTCTTAAGCTCTTTTGAAGTCGACTTCAGCTTCAAGGTTGATTATTGTCCTATAAGGCAAAACTTAATTATTATCTACAGATGATTCTTATGTATATTTCAGGATCAACTATAAGAATTGTGAAGACTATCTCATAGAAATATAAATGAGATATTTAGATACCGTTAGTGAATTTTATTTGATTAGACTATCGTATAATTTTGAATTTAATTTTAACAAGAAAATTTAAAGTCTCTAAGGACTAACAATTGATGAGGATGGTGTGAACGATGTTATAAAAGATTTAAGCGTAGTTAAATAACGATTTTATGAGAATCTTATACTTATTGCATACAAATGATGTAAAAACTAACTTACATGACTTACACAGTATTCATTTAATGAAAATACAATCCACACATAAAACATATACAAAGTTACAAGAATCACATATTTGGCTGATTAAATCAGAGATCACATTACAAAGCACTTAATAAGTAAGTATACTAGGTACATATACTAAAGCCTATTCTATAGGGAGCACATATAGTAGACGCCGTGGCAAGTGGCACATTTGCGGCGTCTGGAATTATGCTCAGGCTGTGGTAGCAGCGATTGGAAGTATTTGGAAATGACATCGATAATCTCAAAGCGGCGACGCTCGAGAAAGTCGACAGCGCAGCTCTCGTAGTTCTGGACACAGTGGTTCAGTATGCGATAGAGCACCAGCTCCGTGGAGACGAACGTGTTTAAGTTACGATCGATGCTATCTGCTTGCTGCTCGATAAAGTTGCGAGTGAGCTGCAACAGCAACTGGGCGGCCTGGTTGCTGTAGTAGCGGAGAAGACCGTCAAGCACATCGTTGAAGCTGGACAGATTGCCGATCTGCTGGACAAACTTGACGCCCAGCTGGCTGGCCAGCTGATCTATGTTCACACGCAACTGGCCGCCCACTTTGTGGCGAACGAACTGGGGCAGGTCACCAACAGCAGACTTAACGCTCGACACTGTGGAGCCACTTGATAAATGCGAATGGACCTTGTGGAGGCTCAGCAACGCCTCCTTGTAGGGTATGTCATTCATGATGCGCACAATATCGAACTTGCCATCGGGTTGATTGCTGTGCAGCTTCGTCGATTCCCGGACAATGCGATCAAACACTTTGCGGCTCTGCGTGCTGAGGGCACGTCGCAGGCGGTAGCCATTGGTCGCTTTGGAAGCGATGCGCATATTGTTGATGGAGTGCGTGAAGATTAGAAAGCTGGAGGCAATTTGCATTACATCAAAGCTAGTCAGCTGCTGTTCATCGCTAATCTTTAAGTACAGATCATAGACGCCGTTGACAACACCCGTGCCAGAGATGACCATGGATGATAAATTAATGCCCGTGACAGCCAACCGAGCAGCAGTGCCCGTGTTATTGCGTATGACGTTAACTGCTGTGGTTGCGCCCGTTGCCCCTAGCCCAGCAACGCCGCCAGCTACGCCAAGCCAACTGCTCCGTGCCTCACTGTTGGCCAGAGATGTGCTCTGGCTGTGCCAGCTGCGATCGATGAGCCGTGTGGCCGAACGCACTGTGGAATAGGCCGCTGCGGAGCAGCCCACCACAGTGGCTGCCATCAGTATAGGAGCAGCCACAGGGCATGCCAGGGAAGCTGCTATGGGCACAGTGCCCAGGATGCCACCAATTGAGACCAGCTTATCGCTGACATCTAGAACCTTTTGCTTTATCCAGGCAGCGGGCGTCGATTGCACCATCAATTTCACTGTTTCGTAGTCGTCGTCAGAGTTGAACGTATAGATGCCCCGTTCTGGTGCTATCATCGTGCCCTTGGGCAGTGCATTGTTGCGTATATACTTCTCCCAATTGGCATAGACGCGGCCAGTCTCATCGATGAAAATCATGCAGCAACCGTCACTGTTACAGCCATCCGCACGCACACATTTACGCGTTCGTATGACTGGATGGCAGCTGAAATCAGTGGATTGCAAGGCCAAGGCGGGATCCGATTCCGGGGTTACCAGCACATAGATAATGGCCGACAGCAGAGTTCGATTTGTATAAATGCGCTGCTTCCACACATTCTCGAATAACTGCTGTCGTTGGGTGGCCAGCGCCTTGGGGGTTAGGCCCATCTGATCATGAATCAGATTTGACAACTTTTGTTTAAGGACGTCCGCCTGGTCGTGCGCTAGCCTGCGGATAAGTAAAGATTGAGTTTTTTTAAGTTTTAGTCTGTACAAAGAAGTTATTTATATATATGTATTTCTAGCTAAACCCACGAGTCCCAAATTATTTCTGAACGTATGCCGCTGCTCATCGCAAAGTCCCGTTGTACTTCATAGACGGTACGCGCCATATTTGTCGCCACAATGAACAGACAATTCAATTCAATTGCAATACAAATTTCCTTAAGTGCATCTATATATTTGTGGTGCTTATCTAAGCGTATTGTTTAGCCAATTGTTTTATGTATTTCAAGTTTAAATTGCGCGCAGTCGAACCGATTGTATTTTGCTTCGTTAGTGTGCACAATTATATATCGCAAGTTGCCAACAATCATCGAATAAGCACGGTTGTATTCCGATAGTCCGATTATTGTTGCAGCTCTTACGCACCAATGCAATTTAAAATACACATTTCGATATCAGCAAAGCAAACAGTTTGTAGCAAAATATATATGAATGTATATGTGAGAAATACACAGTTTCCGTAGCAAATCTATGTTACTGTATTTAAGAGAGTAAGGCATGCTCAGCCACAATATTTTTAAAATATTATTCATGTTTGTTACGAGTGCAAATGCTTTGACCCAATGACGTCACAAAAAATTCAATTGCTTAAATATGGATAATAAGAATTGCAATCATATATATACTAAACTAAATGCATTACAAATAAATTAATTTATTACATAACTAGTATGAGTGTTTATGGCACAACTAACATGACGTCTCGAATATCAAGAGCGTCATCATTAGCGCCGCGTTACCATCTTCGACACGAGTATTGTTGTGGTACACCGAAAGCCTATCGATGTTTCCTCTTCGATAGCCATTTGCTACGACAGCCAATTGCTTTTTGTTTTTGTTGTTGTTGTTGTTGTTGTTGTTGTCTTGGTGG